TTCATTACAATTTTATATATGGCATGACCTAGACAACACAGGTTTTCTTTTTATTATTCACTTACGCTCTACTGCAGGAAATTATTTCTTAGTTTTAATGCCTTACTAGCTCATAAGCAGAGAGATGGGATGCATAAGTGTACTCTCTTTGGTTTTTCTGGTGGGGTTAGAAGGGTAAGTCAGTGAACAGAGAGGTAAAGTTCTCATCTGTAAGCATCCTTCTGTTCCTACACGTGGGGCCAGAACCATGAATGGGCTATATATGGTTACATGGCCATTGCTCCAAAACTCCTGTATTTTGTCCAATAGCTTTTAATGTGAGAGATGGAAGCAGTCCTGATACCCAAGTCTTGAACTCAGATCCCCCTTTTAGTAGGAAGTGGTTGGTGTTTTAGTTTTTGGTTCTGTTCTTGGCCCAGCAAACCTCAGAGGGTTGAGTGGAAAATGTCCCAACTCCTACTATTTGGTGCTTATGGTTGTACCCTGAAGGACAGAAAATGGAAGCTTGAAAACAAGGTGCTGATACAAAATTCTCCTTTCCAGGGGACAGTCTCTTTTCCAAGAGGCTTCTTACTAATATGCAGGACATGCCTAGAGTGTGTGGGTGCAGAGGGAAATAGTGGAAAGCAGCCGTAAAGCTGGAAGGGCTTAGAAAGCATCCCCTTCTCCTGCTCTTGATTTGCTGGTATAAGGAAGAGACAGAAGTGGTGAGAAGGGAAGGAGGAAGCTGGAGAAATAGAGCCCAGTCTCTCGCTCAGCAGTTTGTCCCCCTGTCTGTATTCAGAGCATGCAGAATAAGAAGCCCTCAGTACTTCTTTCCTTTCTATATATTATTTTCTCTTACTTTTTCTGTACATCATGATCAGAACCATTCCTCCTTCCAGCCAAAGACTAGGGAGTGGGAAGAAATGAAAATAAGTTCATTGCAGATCAAATGGGTGCGGCTGGGCTTAGCGCAGGTGGAGCAGACTGAATGGAGCAACGCTCTTGATGTGCTTTGTTCTCAGTGCTCAGCCAGGCATCTTTTTTTCCCAGACTGTGAAGGTAAAGATGATGATGTTGCTTTTTCCTTTAGATTCGTAGAACAACCTTCAGACATAAAACTTGGGGGTTCTGAGCTTCATGTGTACCAGGCAAAATTGTCGAGCCTGGTCAATATCTGAATATATTAAGGAAAATAGAAGGCGCTGACTGAAAACGGTGTCGGTACATTGTGGGGGCATCACTTCCCGTCTAAGTCTTAACTTGGCTGCACTATTGCAAGACTGTAATTTAAGATGAATTTAAATAACGAAAACCGAGTCGGTGATTTTTCAGGTTCTTGGCACCTTAAGAATGAAGTAGGGCTTTAGCACCAATGGTCTGAACAAAAGCTTAAAAGTTAAAATGCGGTATTCCAGCGTATCTAGCAGTTCAACTGGAGAAAAGTGTGTCGAAGCAGTCTGTATTTTTACTTGTATTCAGTTTTAATTATTGAATGCCACTCTGAAGAAGGCTGTGTTTTAATGATGGATAAAATTGTTCCGCACAAAATGATGCCATATAAGTAGAGACTATAAGAGCAGTTTTCTTTATTTAGAAGAAATTAATGAGGGACCGTAATTAAAGTTTATAAAGTGACAAATAAAAGCAGTTCATTTTGCTTTTCTGTTTATTTGCCTCGAAAATTAGTAGCTTCTATCCAAATGAAATTTAAAAAATAATACATCTAAACTGGATACGTGGATTATTTTTTTTAACATAGTTTGTGAAGATCATTACAAAAAAATCATTGAAGCTCAAAAATTGAGAGCGAGCGTGAAAGTGTAACTGTGTAATACAACAGATAATACAGCTAAAGGCTTAAATTAGGGTTTTTTGCATACGGAAGTGCTACTGAAGCTTGGTTTCCTATGGAGTTATATCTTGTATTTCC